TATACTTGTGATTGCATTAAGGCTCACTTGTATTATCTAGCATAATCTCCCCATCTCAGGAGCATTGATTTAACCACACCCGTAAAACATTTGCCACGTAACAGAACATCTATAGGCTCCAAGGACTGGAACCCCTTATCTTTGAGGGCCATTATTCCGCCTGCTACAACACCCTTCACCTAGATTTATTATTTTGTCCCATGATTTCCCTCCTGTCCTTCCTTCCTTTTTTCCATCCTTCCTTCTCCTTTCTCTTTCCTCCATTCCATCCTTTCTATTCCCTTTTCTTTCTCTCTTTCTCCTTATTTTGCTGTAATAGTTTAAAGCAATTCCTTGTAAACTTCATCTCTAAATATTTCCATATATATGGATACTTTCTTTTTTTTAAAATTTTATTTATTCATTTGAGAGAGAGAGAGAGCATGAGCAGGGGGAGGGGCAGAGGGAGAAGCAGGCTCCCCACTGAGCCAGGAGCCCGACGTGGGGCTCAATCCCAGGACCCTGGGATCATGACCCGAGTCGAAGGCAGACGCTTAACCATCTGAGCCACCCAGGTGCCCTTGGATACTTTCTTATATAACCACACCACTATTATCACTTCATACAATTAATAATTCCTTAGAATCATCTAAAATTCTGTCCATATTAAATTCTCCCTGATTTTCTCAACTATGTCTGTCCTGGATATCATCTGTTTTCCCCTCCAGATCTTCTCACCACCCTTCTCCATCCTACTCTGTGCTCTTGGAAGCTGATCTGTATGTACTATATTACCCATGTCCCTTGCTTCTGGTTGAACTCAGCCAAGGTTGGCCCCGGTAAGACATCAGAAGGTGGAAGAAGAGAGAGATTTGGGTATTTATTTCCCAGTTCCCTCTCCACCAGCTCAACAAAGATTGCTGCAACTTCCTAACCAAGCTCACACCTCCTGCCAGGCAGCCCTCTCCAAATAGCTACTCTTCAGTTCCAGTAACTTCTCCCTCTCTTGAGCTTTTCAGATGATAAGGGCGCCCACTCTTGGCAGCCTTGGAGTATTACACTATTCCTTGTGGTTCTCCAGCCCTGCCCTCAGCTCCCTAAGTGTCCCTTTGTCCTCAGATGGCCCATTCGAGTGTGCATCTCTTTTCAGGGCCCTAACTGATACGTATGTCTTTTAATTTTTTCTTTTAAACATTTTTCTTGTTCCCATTTATTCCCACTTCAGCACAGTGGTTAAGATCTAGAGTGGGCTATGAAGCCAGATTATCTAGGTTCAAATCCTCGTTCTGCCACACAGTTGTGTGACTTTGGACAAGCTACTCAGCTTCTCTATGCCTCAGTTTCTTGTCTCTAAATTGGAGATAATAATACATGCACCTAACTTTACAGGAACTGTAAAGCAATTACATAGGGTACAATGGCCAGAAACACAGTAAATGCTCACCACGTGTTAAATAGCATTGTGATTATTATGGTTAGCACTTTTATTATTCCTTGAACTCATTCCTCTTGAGTCCCTTTCCACTGTGTTCTTGTGTGGGTGTGAATTTTTATTTTTTGGTCCTCTATTCTGAAATAATCATAGATTCATGGGAAGTTGCAAAGATAGTACACTGAAGGGGCGCCTGACTCTTGATCTTGGGATTGTGAGTTTGAGCCCCACGTTGGATGTAGAGATTACTTAAAAGAAAAAAAAAAAAAGATAGTACACAGAGGTCCCAAGTACCCATACCTAGTTTCCCTCAAGGCTTGATTAGACTCGGATATAGATATATTTTAGAGTAGAACTGACCGAATTGGCTAACAGAATGGATGTGGGTGTGACAGAAAGGAGGAGTCAAATGTTGATAATCTCCGCCTAACTACGCTGCTTGCTGATCAACCTCAAAAGAGGTACTGAAACACCCCTACTCCAAGAACATGTGTAAAGGACTACTGAAAAACAGGCTAAGCCCAACAGTCCTGGATTTCAGACAAGTGTCCTTGGCGTCTGTGGTCAAATGAGGATTGGTGGATCCCGTAGGTCCCTCCAGGCTGTTGCCTCTCATTGAGTGTGGTGCCTGGAGGGTGGCTGAGAAGGTAAAGCCAATTTGGGGAAAGAGGATCCGAGTTGGGGAATAGACCTAGGGCCTTGGCTTTTCAGCTGGAAGGTTAAACACAATGAATAGACCATGTTCTCTTGTGTCTCAGGGCACTCAAGACTCAAGCTGCCTCTAAGAGAGCTGGGGAGGGATGACCAAACCAGGCCTCTTCGAAGTCCCTCACAGGAGGCCTGGGCCGCGTGTTGGGATGTGAGGAGAGTGTGTGAGGTGTGGTGCGTGAGTGTGGAAAAGTGTGAGTGAATGGGCAGGAGGAAGGAGGTGACTGGGTGGATGTGAGTAAGGGGTGACAGATTTGGGCACTTGAGTGTGTGAGTGTACATGTGAGTGGAGGGATGTGATTGTGAGTGGGTGTGTTTGCATGATAGTGTGCATTGAGTATATGTGGCCATGCAAGGGTTATACATGTAAGAGGTTCGAACATGTCTGCCTGTGTGTGATGGGGGTGGAGCTGGGGCAGGGGCAGAACGTTGGCCCTAGCTCTTCAAGGCTGAGGCACATGTTAAAAGTGATTTGGGGGGGCGCCTGGGGGGCTCAGTCGTTAAGCGTCTGCCTTCGGCTCAGGTCATGATCCCAGGGTCCTGGGATCAAGTCCCCACATCGGGCTCCCTGCCCCTCTCCCACTCCCCCTGCTTGTGTTCCTGCTCTCGCTGTCTCTCTCTCTGTCAAATAAATAAATAAAATCTTTAAAAAAAAAAAAAGTGATTTGGGGGGGCGCCTGGGGGGCTCAGTCGTTAAGCGTCTGCCTTTGGCTCACTCAGGTCATGATCCCAGGGTTCTGGGATCGAGCCTCGCATCGGGCTCCCTGCTCCGTGGGAGGCCTGCTTGCTTCTCCCTCTCTCACTCCCCCTGCTTGTGTTCCCTCTCTCACTGTCAAATAAATAATAAATAAAATCTTACCAAAAAAAGTGATTTGGGGGTGCCTGCGTGGCTCGGTCAGTTAGGTGGACACCTAACTCTTGCTCTCAGCTCAGGTCTTGATCTCAAGAGTTGTGAGTTCAAGCCCCGTATTGGGCTCCATGCTGGATATGGAGGCTACTTTAAAAAAAAAAAAAAGTGATTTTCCCTTTGAGATCCATTTTTGTCAGGAGTGGGGTCCCATTCAGCAGGAGGAGGCTAGCCCAGACATGCAGGGCAGAGCCGAGGCTGGACCCTGAAGGGGTGGTGGTGGTGGTGGTCAGGAGCCTCTACTCCTGGCTCTGCTTCGACCTGGCCTTGGGACCTGCTAGACCCGCTCCCCTCTCCGTGTAGAAGGGTGTCGGATTGGCTGACATGTGGACACCCTGCTTTCGTAGGCAGTGTTGACTACAGTGCTTGGTGCCTGGTGGTGCTTAATAAATGTTTGCCCGTGGAATGACTGGAAGCTGAGGCAGGGAGCCCTGGCCCGTCGGTCCCTTTTTTTTTTTTTTTAAGATTTTATTTATTTATTTGAGACAGAGAGAATGAGAGAGAGAGAGCACATGAGAGGGGGGAGGGTCAGAGGCAGAAGCAGACTCCCCACTGAGCAGGGAGCCCGATGTGGGACTCGATCCCAGGACTCCAGGATCATGACCTGAGCCGAAGGCAGCCGCTCAACCAACTGAGCCACCCAGGCGCCCTCTACCACACATTTAAAGAAGAATTAATACCTATTCTTTTTTTTTTTTTTTTAAGATTTTATTTTATTTATTTTTTAGAGAGCAAGCGAGAGAGAAACAGCATGAGAGGGGAGAGGGTCAGAGGGAGAAGCAGGCTCCCCGCAGAGCAGGGAGCCCGATGCGGGACTCGATCCCAGGGCCCTGGGATCATGACCTGAGCCGAAGGCAGTCGCTTAACCGACTGAGCCACCCAGGCGCCCCCGTCGGTCACTTTTACACACAAAGCCTCCCGCCAACGGACTTGCTCGCACACGCGCTCGCTCACATTCACAAACTCGCCCGCGCTCACGCACTCGCTTGCGCACACCTGCTGCTCACGCTCGCTCGTTCCCACGGACTCACACGCTGCCGCGCTCCGCCCGCGACGCCCCGGCTCCTGGGCTACGTGCTGCCGGGTGACCGGGGGCTGCCCGGCCCAGTCACCCCGCTGACCACGGCGGCTCTTCTAAGCTCCTCCTCATCCTTTTCTTTTTTTAAGAGTTTATTTATTTATTCATGAGAGAGAGGGAGAGAGGCAGAGGCAGAGGCAGAGGCAGAGGCAGAGGCAGAGGCAGAGGCAGAGGGAGAGGGAGAGGGAGAAGCAGGCTTCCCACAGAGCAGGGAGCCCGACGCGGGGCTCGACCCCAGGACCCTGGGGCCGTGACCGGAGCCCCAGGCCCACGCTTCACCCCCTGAGCCACCCAGGCGCCCCCTCTTCTCATCCTTTTCATGTTCTCGCTGTCTCTCCCTCCCCTCTCTGTCCTCTCTGTGTCCCTTCTTTCATTTTGTCCCTCACGCCCCTACACAGACATGCACCCTCGACGCACACCCCCCGCCTCATGGCGTTCTCTTCTAATTTCCCGGGTTGTCTGGCCTCCCGTCTGCCCATTCCTCTCATGCTCTCTGTCTGTGTTTACGTCTGTCTTTCTCCGTGTGCCTTTCTCCCTCCACCTCTCACGGTTTCCTGACTGCCCCCCCCCTCCCCAGGGCCCCTTATTCTGGTTTTCTCGGTGCCTCATCCCTCTTCTCCCTTCCTGGCTCTCGCGCTCAGTCTCTCTCTCTCTCTCCTCGAGTGCATGCTCGCCCTTTCTGCTCTCTCTCTTGCATCCCCAGCTCCCCGACTCGCTGCCCACGCCCCAGCCTGGCCCTGGCTCCGGGAGAACCCTCCGAGCAGGGGTCAGGGCCCCGCCACCCAGCTTGGAGGTTCTTGTGCCACCCGTTGGAGGAGCCCCAGGGTCACAGCATTTCCTCCCTGGGGGTGACTTGGCACTGGTGTGCTCTGTTTCCTCACTTCTGCAATTTCCAGATAGCACAGAGGCTCGGTCTGCAGACAGACGGACACTCAGATCCTGCTGCTGCTGGGGCCACTCAGCCTGCTCAGCCTTCCCTGATTCAGGTAAGGGGGGGGGGGGTCCCGGCGCTGGCTGGGCAAGGGGGAGGTGTGTGACAGGGTCCTCAGGAGACCGAAGTCTGAAGGGACCGTTCTGGCATCTTCCTCAGGCCCAGTGTTTAGAAAGGATTCCTGGTGACCAAACTTGCCAGGAAATGCAGCTCCCCACTTTGGTTGCCTGAGGCCCGGGCCGAGCTGAAAGTGAGCCCCGAGATCTCACTGGGAGCTGACGATGGTGGTGAGAGGGGGCTACCTAGAGGTCGGGGGCTGAATGCCATCTGCTGGACTGGCTGCCTATGGCGTCTTGGCCAAGTTATGCTCCCACTCTGCAGCCCAGTTTCCGGCACTGTCGAATGGGGATAATCCTGCCTCCCCAGCAGGACTGTTGGGAGAAGCTCGGGGTCTGGTACAGGGCTGGGCACTGAGGACCTCATGAGATGCCAGGTGTTCCTGGGGGATGATGAAGATAACCAGGTTATTGGTACAAAGGGCCTGGCCCGCAACGGGTTCCCCCCAACAGGTCCCGGGTGGGAGGGACAGGGCACAGGCAGGTCTCCCCTTGTCCTTTGCTGGCAGGAGGTCCCGGGTGGGCCGAATGAACCAGGGTCGCTGTGCAGACACTTGCTCTCCTGTGGAGAATGAGGGAGCCAGCAGAGTCTCTCCGTAAAGCATTTAGGCAACTCTGATTTAGATCTGTTCGAACGTGCAGCTGGGTTCCAGGTACTTGGAGTGTGTGTGTGTGAGTGTGTGTGAGAGTGTGAGTGAGTGTGTGAGAGTGTGAGTGTGAGAGTGAGAGTGTGAGTGAGTGTGTGTGAGAGTGTGTGTGTGTGTGTAGGTGCTATGGAAACAAAAGACAGAGATGTTCCTACCTTTAGGTACTGACAATGCAGCCAAAGAAAGAAGTCCGCTCTGGACATGACGAAATGGCCCTGGGTCTGAAGTGGGCACCTCACGATTGGCAGGATTTTGACCTTAGCTCTAGTTTATAGGCTGGGATGTTGGCAACCGAGGAGCCTCACTTTCCTCTTTTGTAGATTAGGGCTTAAAGTCCTGCCCTTTGGGTTTGTGCGGGAGGATGAAGGAGGAGGCCAGGTGGGAAAATGCTTTGTCAATGGTGAGATGCTGCACAATGTGTTACTACTAATATTGACAGTCATCCTTACTGTAAATGCCTTACGGGGGGGGAATTCATTCTGTTCATTGTTTTATCCTTACCCTTTGCACAGTGTTTGGTGAGCAGTATAATCTTAGAATATGAATTGAATAGATGGATGATAAAGTAATATGCTGTACTTAAAAGAGAATGGACAGCAAGCCAGAGGCCCAGCATCTGGCCCCAGTTCTGCTCCTGATCCTGTTGTCACCATGGGCAAATCTTTTCTCTTCTCTGGGCCTCAGTTTTTCCATCTGTCCAATGAAGGTTTGGGTCAGGAATTACAGTCTATGGCGTTAATGACAAAATCAGCCTCCAGGACTGAGTTCCTGCTCTTGATTGGTATTGGGGTGGGCAGGGGTGTGATGAGAAGCTGGGGTCCTGTCTGTCCTTTTACAGGGAGACCTTTATAGAGGGACCCCTCCTCCCCAGTCTAGGCCCATGATCAAGGCCTCGTTGAGGAGAAGGGGGTGCTCCTCTTTGTCAGTGGCAGCCCCTCCTTACGCCCCCCCCCCCCATGAGGGTTGGCACAGGATGAGGCACAGCTGAGCTACAGTGTGGGAGCACTCCCTGACTGGTCCTGGGGGAGTGTGTCTGGGTTGAGCATGGAGCCCATTCCCGGAAGGACAAATGCTGGGCCCCAGCACAGCCACCTCTCTGGCCAGCTCCCATTGGGTTCCTTGGCAGCAGGGTGGGTGGGGAGAGGAGCCTCTGCTGTATCTTTCCATGTGCATGTGTGTCTGTGGTGGTGTGGGTGGTACTAGGACGTGGGCCCTGGCTGTAGTCACATGGGCCTGGAACATGACCAACATGCAGGAGGGTCTGGTACAGCCCAGCAGTTCCCAGAAGCAGAATCATCAACCAAACCAGCTGAGAGGTTGGTGTACCTTTCTTCCCTTGTGTCTCCAGCCAAGGAGGATCCAAAGCCAGACTCTGTGTGTGTGTGTGTGTGAGAGAGAGAGAGAGAGGAAGAGAGAGAGAATATGTGGGGCAAGGACCACTGCTCAGCAGTCCCTCCCCACCCCCTTAGTTCTGTGGGAGGGGGACCCTTAGGGTCTGGGTTTGATGCTGAGCTCAGCTGGCTGATGGGAGAAGCATGTCAAACATTTGCGCAGGCCCCTTTATAGTTTTTAAAGTCCATTTCAGTTTACCAAGTGCTGTACTGTTGATAAGACAAACCCTTTATCACTCCTACCCATCTTATTTTCTTCTTACAACAATGCTTGAATTCTTGAGGTTGCCCCCTCACGCCGCCCCGCCCCCGCCCCACCCTGCGGATTTTTCAGATGCAGATCACAAGTCTCAGAGCTCACTCACTCAAGGTGGTGGGGGGCATGGCTGAGACCCAGAGTCCTGATGCTCTGATCTCAAGTCTTGTGATTTCTCTTCAGCTCTCGCTGGTGGCGGCTGGTTTGGTGCACGGCTGATTGGTTCACTCATTCATTTCTTCAACAAATGTTTTCTGAGGGTTCGGGAGGAGCTCACAGTTACTGAGCAATAACCATTTGCATTGACTGCTTCATTCTGCTTTTACAACTACCTGGTGAGGAAGCTTTTATTATCCCCATTTTGCAAATGAGGAAAGGGAGCTGCTGAGAGCCAAAGAGCAGCTAGGGAAGAGCAGAGTCCCGTGTGGATCCTGGTCTGTGGGACCCCAAGGCCTAGGCCCTGTACCCTACGTTTTCCCTTGGGCTGGGCCCCAGGTACCCACAAGGGCACCAGCAGGACGGATGCAGGAGTTCCCAGGCTGGAAGGCGTGGTCCTTTGGTGTGATTCAGGGTATAATGGAGGGGTAAGCCCAGTACCGAGAATCCCACAGGAAGACGTACCTCTCCGTTCCCTCCTCCCTGCCCTGGCCTACTTCCTAGAAGGAGGAGGGAGGGGGAAGGAGACCCACAAATACCATCTGGGTATTTGGGAGCCAGAAGGAAAGACCCAGGCCAGGTTCAGGGTCCCCCACCTCCACAGGGATGTCCTAGACCAGCTGAGCAGAGACCGAGTCTCACCAGGGCAATATATATTCCTGGGGTCAGGGAAGGGCCCTCTGTGAGAAGGGAGATTGGGAAAATCTGGTTCCCAGGCCACTCCCACCTCAAGAACCCTAGACCTTGTCCCTGACCTCTCCGAGACAAAGAATTCCATTTCTCCACCCAGAAATGTGCCCAGCATGGCGCTGGACTCCTTGTCTTTGAAACTGTGGGGAGCCCAGAATTCCCCAGAGGTGAAGATACTTACTCCCTCAATTTCCCCCTCAAATCCCTCTGCTGTTTGGAGAAATGGTAGTGAAAGCACTCCATGAGTGGAATCTTTAAAGAGTCTGGCCAGCATGGTCAGGCCAGGGCCCAAATGCCAAGCAACAGGGGAGGTCAGAATAGGAGTAACTCATTGACTGAGCATCTACTATATGCCAGTCACTTTAGAAGTTTACCTGCCTTCAAACTCAGGCTATCCTATGAGATCAATGTTGACATTATTCTCATTTTATACATGAGAAAAGTAGGACTCACAGAAGAGAAATGATTAAACTGTTGTGTTTGAGAGTTCTCAGGAAATCTAAGGGCTGGGAGTGACTAAGGCTGGTGTGTGAGGGTTTGGAAGTAGAGGATGAGGGACAACGTGACTGTGTGTGTGTGTGTTTATCTATTAGTAAATGTCTCTTTTTTTGAGAGAGAGCGAGCACACGTGCGTGCACACACACACACATACACACACGAGTTGGGGGTAGGGGAGAAAGAATTCCAAGCAGGCTCCATGCCCAGCACAGAGCCCAATAATGGGCTTGATCTCATGACCCTGAGATCATGACTTGAGCTGAAATCAAGAGTTGGACGCTTAACTGACTGAGCCAGATGCCCCTATTAGTAAATATTTCTTGAGTGTTTGCTGTGGAGGAGGCCCTGTGGCACACCCTGGTGAAATGCCAGAAGCCTTGAACCCAGGGAATTCCCAACCCAAAGGAAAAAGAAACCAACAGCCATTATAATGCAGTGCGATGCGTTGTGTTATGGAAACCCCAGGCAGCATCTCTAAGTCTATCTGGGTTGAGAAGTCAGACTAATGGTAGCCAGCACTCCTTGAGCTTTGATTATAGATCAGGCATTTTCTATTTAATCCTTACAACAACCCTATGAAGTATTCTTCTTATTATTTTTACAGAGGAGTAAACAGAGGCCCATTGGAGGTTAAATTAATTATCTTGGGTAAGAATCAGCTGATGGCATTTTGCCAACTGTCATTAGCTGCCAAGAGAAGATGTGACTGGTTCCTGGAAGCTTTCAGAGTTAATGATACATCTGGAAGCCTGATGTAGGTGGCTTCAGGCTGGCGTGAGCTCGATATGAGCTGTTGCAATGACCGTGCGGCTATTTTGAGGAACATTTGATCTGATCTAATTAGCAAATTGGATTTCCTGTAGATACAGTTTTGTAGAGCTGTTGATTGTGAATATCTTGAATTGTGCTAAGCCCTTTACACACATTATTCATCAAATATTCATAGCACTGGGGCGCCTGGGTGGCTCAGTCATTAAGCGTCTGCCTTAGGCTCAGGTCGTGATCTCAGGGTCCTGGGATCAAGTCCCACATTGGGCTCCCTGCTCGACGGGAAGCCTGCTTCTCCCTCTCCCACTCCCCCTGCTTGTGTTCCCTCTCTCGCTGTGTCTCTCTCTGTCAAATAAATAAACAAAATCTTTAAAAAAATATTCATAACACTCTGGGGAGATATGTGCTTGGAATATCCCCAGCTTCATTCACAAAGGAAGGACCTGAGGCTCAGAGAGTGATGTGCTTGGCGATGGGTACAAGCTAGGACAGGATAGAGGCAGAATTCTTGTTTGTCTGACCAGAGTCTGTGG